ATTAGAACAGGAAGGCTTGCCGAAGAACCGGATCAGGGAGGGAAAGTCATATGCATACTGACACGTGTGTGTCTTATGAATCTCTCAATGTGCATGTGGGTTTCGAGCAAAGCGCTGTTTTATTAGCAAGGTTGGCAAGTGCACCATAGCCACGGCGACACTTCGTATGTATGTACTTTGTTTTTGATTGTTTAGTTACAGTTTGCTCTTTTACTTGGTTGCTTGCTTCTTTGCTTGCTGGATTGCTTACTTATTTGCCTGCTCGCCTGATTGAAATGCTTGCTTGCTCGCCTGCTTGCTGGCTTGTGGCTGCCTGTTTGTTGGCGGGCAGGCTGCTTGCTTGCTGGCTGGCACGGCTGGCTGGCTGTTGTTGTTGTTGCTGTTGCTGTTGCCTACTATTTCGAGAACAAGTACCAGAACACTTGGACTGGCTTGCTTCCGTGCTCAGCTTCCAGGATTGAAGTGACCTTTGACATCGATGCCAACGGCATTGTCAACGTCAGTGCATCGGACAAGGGAACAGGCAGCGATTGGGCGCATCACGAGGGGTTGGTCCTGTGTTCATGCGTTGAGGATTGAGTGCTTGATCCACCGGTCAAGGTTGAAGCTCAAACGGCCATCATCGGAAAAGAGGTGTTGATAAGTCATGCCCGTTCCCGTAGTTTGTCTTCAGGTAAAGCGTTCCCATCCAGAAAGTTTCAAGCAGGACTGGCCTTCTAGCTTGTGTATGTAGAGTGAAGGATCCTCTTGAAATTGGGCAATCTCATCTCATGCTTGGCAATCACATTTCTTATACCCATGTTCTTGCATTTTTGGGGCTGTGTCGAAATCAGACGCCTTTTCAGATGATTGGTTTTCTCTTTCTTTTGAAGCCTCGCACTCTTCGTCTGAAGGCAGACCGATCGATGCATTTGTCCTAAGGGGTCGGCTTCCTTTTGGTTTGATGGTTTCCCTTGAAACACCATCCAAAAGGACATTGTGATTTATGGTTCCGTATTCCCCGGTGTGCTGAATGCGAATGAGTGCGCTGCACACAAAATGCTGACCTTTTGGTTTGCCTGATTTGGCCCACTTTAAGTCGTTTGGTTCCAACAGGTGAACCTTGTATTTCTGGGTCGCTAAGGCCCTAAGGGGAGTATTTCCCAGTCAAGTCAACGAGCTATGGAGTCATGATAGTCAAAGTTCCCCAGACGTCTGCTAATGATCTGCTAATGATAGAAGCTCCCTCTCAAATCCACTGGTTCTGATCCTAATATGTTGTGACGGCTTTTGAAGTTATTCCTCCAGCCCTTGGTGGTTTAGATTCTCTTTTTGGGGATTTGCACCTGCAAAGGGGGCACCGCGCCCCCTAAGTTCACCACCAACCCAAACCAACTGGAGGGATTCCCTGAGTTTCGATTTGCCCCCCGTGCCTTCGTTCGGAGGCAAGAAGCAGGCCATCACCATCCGCTCCTCCGGCGGCCTCAGCGACCAAGAGATCGAGCGCATGGTCAACGAGGCGGAGAACATGCGCGAGACCGACCAGCGGAAGAAGGAGCCCGCGAGCGGAAGCCGCGGTTCCGCGGCCGGCGGATGTGCCCGGACTTGGGGACTTGGGGACTTGGGCGGTTGCTTACAAATGTGGGCAAAAAGAATCCGGCAGTAAAGCATGGCTTTGCCCTTGCACGTCCCGCGAAGCCCTCCTGTTCTTTTTGTTTGGAGGGGCTTTTGCGTGGAAGATGTGGAGGGAAAATTCATTGGCCGCAAATACTACAAGGGCCTGAACAATTGGCTCCTGAGCACAAGTGAGGAATAAGTGTAGTTGTTGGCCCCTTATATTCCTTCCCAGACATTCAGTGCGCTGCTTTCCTGTTCTTCTTGTTTTTGCAGGCGGTACCAACGGGGGGGTGCGCTTTGCGGTCTGTTTGCGGGGGCCCTGATAGGTAGCCAACAGTCAATTGAACCAGAACAAAACGAGTAAAGATTTGGTTTGATTCAGGGTTCTCACGATTCGTTTGGGTTCGTTCCGTTTCGCGCGCACGTCCGTTTCGGTGTGTTCGATTCGAGAGCCCTGAATCGCCGTACGATTCGGGCGTTTCGTTTCGCAGCCGGTTCCTTGCCAAGGCCCGGTTCGTTTCAATTCGTTTCGATGGGGCTTTGGGGGCCGCTGGTCGCCTCCTCCAATCTTTGGGTGCGCCCTCTCCGCGCCTCTTCCAACCTTTCCAGGGCCGCCCTTCCAGCCTTCACTGAGCCCGTCGTCCCTCCAACCATTGGGAGTTTAGGGGCCCTCCTAAAACAGCTTGTGTCAAGAAGTCGCGTTCTAATGCGGAGCTCATGAATGGTCCCGACATGGAAGCCTTTCTGTTGCGGCCCCGTACTGGAACCCTTGTTTGCATCTCATCTAAACGGAGAACAACTGAATGCGTCTACTGGATTCTTTGAACGCTCTTTTTCCGAAAGGGGGGGGGGGGAAAGACCTCAGCGGGACAGGTGTTTTACGGGATCCCCTTTTTTGGGGTTTCAATGAAAAAGAGGACAGAAAACAAACGCGGTGAGACCTCAGCAGGACAAACTTTTTTCCCTCGACCCCAAAACGCTTTTTGGGGGGCAAAAAACAGAAGACAGAAAATAAACCAAAGTTTCCACAACCAATGGTGAGACCCAAGCAAGAAACCCGACAAGGGAAAAGTTTCGGAAAAGCAAACGCATGTTCTTGAAATGGATCTGCTGCTTTGTGGATTTGGTTTTTAATTTTCGTCCCTCCAACCATTGAGGGGTGGGCGTGCCGCCCGTCCAACCTTTGTGGGGGCAGGCCACCTCTCCACACAACCTTTCCAGGGCCGCCCTTCCAGCCTTCACTGGGCCGCCTCCGTGTTCCAACCTTCGTCCCTCCAACCATTCAAGGCGGGCGGGTGGGCCGCCCGTGTTACCTTTGTGGGGGCTTCTCCTCCAACCTTTGAAGGGCCACTCCACATGTTCCAACCTTCCAGGGCCGCCCTTCCAGCCTTCACTGAGCCGCCTCCGTCTTCCAACCTTGCGGGCCGCCACCTTTGTGGGGGCTTCTCCTCCAACCTTTGGGGGGCACTCCAGGGCCGCCCTTGCGGCCACCTTTGTGGGGGCTTCTCCTCCAACCTTCGGGGGGGCCCACTCCAGGGTCGCCCTTCCAGCCTTCGCTGAGCCGCCTCCGTCTTCCAACCTTCGTCCCTCCAACCAGGCAGCAGGCCGCTTTCCCAGGGCCGCCCTTCCAGCCTTCTCTGAGCCGCCTCCGTCTTCCAACCTTTGTCCCTCCAACCAGGCAGGCCGCCCGTCCAACCTTTCAGGGCTTCTCCTCCAACCTTTCTCCGCATGTTCCAACCTTTCCAGGCCCGCCCTTCAAGCCCCGCCCTTCCAGCCTTCACTGAGCCGCCTCCGTCTTCCAACCTTCGTCCAACCAGGCAGCAGGCCGCCCGTCCAACCTTTGTCCCTCCAACCAGGCAGGCCGCCCGTCCAACCTTTTGGGGCTTCTCCTCCAACCTTTGGGGCCGCCTCCGTCTTCCAACCTTCGTCCCTCTGGGGGGCCACTCCACATGTTCCAACCTTTCAGGGCCGTCTTTCCAGCCTTCTCTGAGCCGCCTCCGTCTTCCAACAGGCCGAACCTTTGGAGGCTTCTCCTACAACCTTTGAAAGGCCACTCCACATGTTCCAACCTTTCCAGGGCCGCCCTTCCAGCCTTCAAGCCGCCTTCCAACCTTTGTCCCTCCAACGGCAGCAGGCCGCCCGTCCAACCTTGTGGGGGCATGTTCCAACCTTTCAACCGCCTCCGTCTTCCAACCTTGCTTTGTGGGGGCTTCTCCTCCAACCTTTGGGGGCCGCCCTTCCAGCCTTCACTGAGCCGCCTCCGTCTTCCAACCTTCGTCCCTCAACCAGGCAGCAGGCCGCCTGTCCAACCTTTGTGGGGGGGCCACTCCACGGGGCCACTTCGTCCAACCTTTGGGGCCGCGCCTCCAAATCTCTTTGCCAAAGCTTTCCTGCGTCCACCGGCAAATCCTGGTTGATCCTGTCAGTAGTCATATGCTTGTCTCAAAGGCCTTCAATCCAGAACCCTTCCAACCAACCTTGCACTCCAACCTTTGTTCCATCCTTTGAGGGCTGCGTCCTCCAATTGCATGTTTTGTTTTATCCAACAGGACAGAAGTTCTGCTTGTGCTTGCTTCTACTGATCCCTTTGATGGGTCGCATGGAAGGTGATTGGCATGACCTCCAGTGGCACCTTCCTTCCCTTTTCAAGTCAAGTACCCAACAAAAATGTGTTTTTTTGAAGCAGGCAAGCTCCTGATTTCTGGGTGTGCAGCAATTGACAGCCCCTGAGCGTCCACTGCCCTGACCGCAGTGGTCATGGCAACCCTTGCCTCCAGTGGAGGCACACGCTTTCTGGGCTCCAAGCTTTGGGCTCCAAGCTCTGTCCCCCCCCTCCAACCTTTGAGCTCCAAGCTCTGGCCTCCAACCTTTGAGCTCCAAGCTCTGGGCTCCACTCCAAGCTCTGTCCTCCTCCAAACCTTTGGGCTCCAAGCTCTGTTTTTCTCCAGGCTCTGGGCTCCAACCTTTGAGCTCCAAGCTCTGGCCTCCAACCTTTGAGCTCCAACTCCAAGCTCTGGGCTCCAACCTTTGGGCTCCATTGGGCTCCAACCTTTGGGCTCCAAGCTCTGGCCTCCAACCTTTGAGCTCCAAGCTCCAACCTTTGAGCTCCAAGCTCTGCGCTCCAACCTTTGGGCTCCAAGCTCTGGGCTCCAACCGCTCCCTCCAACCTTTGGGCTCCAAGCTCTGGCCTCCAGCCTTTGAGCTCCAAGCTCTGGGCTCCACCCTTTGGGCTCCAAGCTCTGGCCTCCAACCTTTGGGCTCCAAGCTCTGGCCTCCAACCTTTGAGCTCCAAGCTCTGGGCTCCAACCTTTGGGCTCCAAGCTCTGGCCTCCAACCTTTGGGGCCCATTCCAGGGCCGCCCTTCCAGCCTTCGCTGAGCCGCCTCCGTCTTCCAATCTTCGCCCCTCCAACCAGGCAGCAGGCCGCCTGTCCAACCTTTGTGGGGGGGCCACTCCACATGTTCCAACCTTCCCTTCCAGCCTTCAAGCCGCTTCCGTCGTCCAACCTTCGTCCCCAACAGCCGGGGCCACTTCGTCCAACCTTTGGGGCCGCGCCTCCAAATCCCTTTGCCAAAGCTTTCCTGCGTCCACCGGCAAATCCTGGTTGATCCTGCCAGTAGTCATATGCTTGTCTCAAAGGCCTTCAATCCAGAACCCTTCCAACTTTTTTTTGGAAGGCTCCTGAGTTCTAGGTGTGTGGCAATTGGCAGCCCCTGAGCGTCCACTGCCCGGACCGCAGTGGTCATGGCAACCCTTGCCTCCAGTGGAGGCACACGCTTTCTTGGCTCCAACCTTTGGGCTCCAAGCTCTGTCCTCCCCTCCAACCTTTGAGCTCCAAGCTCTGGCCTCCAACCTTTGAGCTCCAAGCTCGCTCCAATTTGGGCTCCAAGGTCTGTCCTCCTCCAAGCTCTTGGGTTCCAACCTTTGGGCTCCAAGCTCTGTCCTCCTCCAGGCTCTGGCTCCAACCTTTGAGCTCCAAGCTCTGGCCTCCAACCTTTGAGCTCCAAGCTCTGGCCTCCAACTCCAGGCTCTGGGCTCCAACCTTTGGGCTCCAAGCTCTGGCCTCCAACCTTTAGGCCCCAAGCTCTGGCCTCCAACCTTTGAGCTCCAAGCTCTGGGCTCCAACCTTTGGGCTCCAAGCACTGGGCAAAAATTTGGGCTCCCTCCAACCTTTGGGCTCCAAGCTCTGGCCTCCAACCTTTGAGCTCCAAGCTCTGGGCTCCAACCTTTGGGCTCCAAGCTCTGGGCTCCAACCTTTGGGCTCCAAGCTCTGGCCTCCAACCTTTGAGCTCCAAGCTCTGGGCTCCAACCTTTGGGCTCCAAGCTCTGGCCTCCAACTTTTGGGCTCCAAGCTCTGGCCTCCAACCTTTGTGCTCCAAGCTCTGGCCTGCAACCTTTGGGCTCCAACTCGAACCTTTGAGCTCCAAGCTCTGGGCTCACCTTTGGCTCCAAGCTCTCCAGAGCTTGGAGCCCAAAGGTTGGAAGACCTTGGGGCTCAAAGGTTGGAGGAGGCCAGAGCTTGGAGAGCAGCTCAAATGTTGGAGCCGCCCAAAGGTTGGAGGCCAGAGCTTGGACCCAAAGGTTGGAGGCCAGGCTTGGAGCCCAAGGTTGGAGTGGGCTCAAGTGGCCTGCAACCTTTGAGCTCCAAGCTCTGGCCTCCATCCTTTGAGCTCCAAGCTCTGGGCTCCAACCTTTGGGCTCCAAGCTCTGGGCTCCAACCTTTGGGCTCCAAGCTCTGGGCTCCAACCTTTGAGCTCCAAGCTCTGGCCTTTGATCTCCAATCTTTGGCCTCCAACCTTTGAGCTCCAAGCTCTGGGCTCCAACCTTTGGGCTCCAAGCTCTGGCTCCAACCTTTGGGCTCCCTCCAACCTTTGGGCTCCAAGCTCTGGCCTCCGACCTTTGAGCTCCAAGCTCTGGGCTCCAACCTTTGAGCTCCAAGCTCTGAGCTCCAAGCTCTGGGCTCCAACCTTTGGGCTCCAAGCTCTGGGCTCCAACCTTTGGGCTCCAAGCTCTGGGCTCCAACCTTTGAGCTCCAAGCTCTGGCCTCCAACCTTTGAGCTCCAAGCTCTGGGCTCCAACCTTTGGGCTCCAAGCTCTGGCCTCCAACCTTTGGGCTCCAAGCTCTGGGCCTAACCTCTGACCCTAACCTCTACCCTTAACCTCTAACCCTAACCTCTAACCTTAACCTCGAACCCAAACCTCCAACCCTAACCTCTAACCCTAACCTCTAACCCAAACCACTAACCTTAACCTCTAACCAACCTTTGGGCTCCAAGCTCTGGGCTCCAACCTTTGGGTGAGCTGTGGGCTGGGCTCCAAGCTCTGGCTCCAACCTTCGGGGTGCAACCTTGAGAGGCCCCTCTGGACAAACCTTTTACCTTCCACCTACAGCTCAACCTTTGGACCTTAACCTGTCTACCCATGCAATCTCTTAGACTTCCTTCCTCCAGCCGCATCCCGGCTTGTTTGCCTGTTCTCTTTGCCAGCTCTGCCCTCCAACCGGCCCGTTTCGATTCCATTCGGTTCGGAAACCGCCAATTAGCCGATTCGTTTCGTTTCGTTTTGCCGGGTTGGCGTACTTGGTGTCGATTCGTATCCAGGAATCGCGCGGCCGGTTCGCGCCGGTTCCGGTTCGGCGCGATTCGCGCCAGCCGATTCGATTCAGTTCCGCGAGCTTCCTGTTGATTGTTTGGTGCTCGGTGCATAGGCGCCTGTCCTTGTGATTTCGCCTTCAACATGACTTTTGCGGACTACCCAGTTTTTTGCCTTTTGAACTGGAGTTTGGTTGCCTTTGCTTTGCCTTCAACATGGATTTTAGGGACAGCTGTCACATTGATCAGGAATCAGCCAGATTTTGGCAGGACACCGTGCACGCCAAGAACGAAGGAGAGAACCTCGCTTACCAGGTCGACAAGCAGATCACTGACACTAAGGATTGCCGTGTGTGTGTGTGTGTGCGTGTGTTGTAAACCAGCATACCCCCTTTTTCAGCTTGGGTCTGTCTTTTTGAGGGCGCCCCTTTGTTGGGGTTTCGTTTGGAAACAAAAAGGAAAACCATCATAATTGGCTGGTCCCGCAAAAAGAGGCACACCTGCTTGGTTTGCAAGGGCTTGCCCAAGTAGGAGCGGTTCGTGGTATCCCATGTCACTGCTGCTTTGGTGTTGCCCAAAGGGAAGGCAGCGGTAAATCCGATTTTTTTTTAAGGGTGCAAATCATCCCCAAGGAATTTCGCGGGTCGGCAGATGAATCAGGACTCCAAGCCTGGCCAAGCTCCAACAAAAACCAGGCCCAGGGAAAAACAACTGGAAGCTAGCCAAGCCAAATACCAGGGTTTCGGCAAACTTCCTGTAATCTGTCCAATATGGATGTGTGTGTGTGTGTTTTTTGTTTTTTGTTTTTTGGTGGGGTACCATGTTGGGGTTGGTTGAAAGGAAAATTGAAGAAGCAACGCACATTTTGAGGGTTCCCCGAAAAAAGACACAACCCATATTCTGAATGGAGGCATAGAAAGCCGGTGTGTCCGGCAGTTGACCTTCACTCTCCTCCCTCTCCTTCTTCATTCATCCCATATGCCTCTGACCGTGCAGAATGGACGCCAAGTCCTGTAAGCCACGTCAGTCACCTCCTTGAGATTTTCTCTCCGCCAGCATTTCATGTCACTCACTCGGCATTTCGTGTCACCGGTGATTACATATTGTGTATTTGGGTGCCTCCTTTTTAGGGACCCCCAAGGAAAATGGTGGTGTTGCTGTTGTTGTGTTTGTTTGTTTAAACCACAAAACGGGGGTGCCCTCCGCCCACCCCCCCCCCAAAAAAAAAAGGAAAGGAAAGAACAAAAGGAAAGGAAAGAAAACAGAGAGTCGTATTTACAGTTCGTCCCTTTCATGGCTCCTCTCACAACTGAGATATTTTCTGGCAAACGTGTTCTCCGCTTGCGGACGTTCCTGAAATCTGTGGCATGGACTCTTCAAGCCGCGTGGAAGATATCCCAAACGTAGGGATGCAATGTTGAGCCAACTTTATGTAGACAACCCCTGGTTCGCCGTTTGCCTGACTTAGCTGTCCTTTTCGACTGTTGGCCCATCATGTTTCCTGTCAGCCCAGCAACAAAGTTGAGGCTTGCAGGGGGTTCAAGTCTGGCCTCCCTTTGCCCTGACTCAACAAGAGAGGTTATGACCACCTTATTTAGCAAATGTAAGGAGGGTTTGCTTTCTTGCTTGATCGATCCATTTTTCAGGTGTATTATGTCCCTCAGTTGGTGGTTAGGATTGGTGGCTCTGATGTGGTGCCTTTAGCTGAGGGTACTGTACTCGTCTTGGGGTTGGGGAAACCAAACGGAAACCGTGCATGTCGGGGATCTCACATTTTGAGGCTTCACAATATCTCCGGACCGCCTCCAACCATCCAAACCTTACTGAAAAGCTGATGTTTCAACTCAGTTTCCCAAAGCAAATCAACCTTTTGACCTTTGAGTTTTCCAAAATTGGTCCATGTTTGCATCTGGCCCCAACAGGGTATCACCTTTTATTTCTGGGTCCCTATCTTGCTGGTGCTCACTAGGGAATGACCCAGGGTGTTTGGGGGTGGTCCCCTTAAAGGAAACCACAGGGGATGGTTTGTCTCGGACATTCCAACTCATTTCCTGCCTATCGCACCATCAAGTTATAGCCCCAACGGGTGATCCTCTTTTTTTTCTGTCCGATTTTCTTGTCACAGGACAAGATGTCCACCGCCGACAGGGACGAGTTGCAGACCTTGCTCGGGGATTTGAGGCGCGTCGTGGGAGTGGGATCTTGGGATCGAATCGGGCCGAAATCGGGCGCAGGTCGGTTCATTTAGGGAAACCAAGGGAGACTCGATGGAAACCAAAGGGAAGCCTTGGAAATCATTTGACATTCACTTTCGGGAGTGGTCTACTACTCAAAAAAAAAAAAAACACGGTTTCTGTTATCGAAGGACCAGGGTGAAATGGGCGGTTGTCTTGCTGGTTCGATAGGAGGGGACTGAGACGCACCATCCATACGAATCCCCAAAACGGTTCATTTCCAACACCCAAGGTCAGGGTCATTCCAGACTGACTGAGCATCAGCAGTCTTGCTGGCTGTTGAAAGTCGCCATTGGGCAGTTTGCAATCGTATGCACTGCTTGTGATATGGGTATGGCTCAAAATTAAACCATCAGGGGACTGCAGGTTTCAGTCGTTGGTTCCATTTACCAGGGTTCCATTTTGGCTACCCATTTGTGACCCACAGCCATATCCGGCCCCAGTCACATCCGAATGAAGCGGCGCCCGGAGGGAAGGTAACCGAAGCCTGGGAAGGTGACGGATTGGTAACAAGACAAGTGGCCGGCTGGCTGGCTGGCTGGCAGGTTGGTTGGTTGGTTGGCTGGTTGGCTGGTTGGTTTGGTTGGTTTGGTTGGTTGGTTTGGTTGGTTTGGTTGGTTTGGTTGTTGGTTTGGCTTGGCTGGTTTGGTTGGCTGGCTGGCTGGCTGGCTGGCTGGCTGGCTGGCTGGCTGGCTGGCTGGTTGGTTGGTTGGTTGGTTGGTTGGTTGGTTGGTTGGGTGGTAGATTGGTTTGTTGGTTGGTTGGGTTGGTGGGTTGGGCTGGGCTGGGCTGGGCTGGGTTGGGTTCGGTTCTGTTGGGTTGGGTTGGTTGGTCAGTTGGTTGGTTGGGTAAGGCTTTTAAATCTGCGCATTACAAGGTATACTAAGAGAATGGGCCTGACTCCATGTATGTCATGAAGATTTCATGTTTGCAGATTAGGCGATGTCGTGAATCGTGACCTATGCTCATGCAGACAAGCCCACAGATTGTATCGTCCCGGCAGGTTGGAAAAATGGGTGTGCGTTTCTTTGCGAATACCCCCCGTGCTCTGTCTAGGCTTATCTATCGAACCCGCTTGTTTTCTTTGGTTCATTTTGCCAAGGGATGTTAGGACTTGTCCTTTTTGCCAACAAATGGATTTTCCGAACTAAACCACTAAACGTTAGTCACATTTAGCAGGGGAGCAGAAAGCAACCGAGTCTTAACACATATCTGGGTGTGGGTCAAAATTAGGCCACCAGGGGACCGCAGGTTGTAGTCTTTGGTTCCATTTACCAGGGTTCCATTTTGGGTACCTATTTTTGACCCACAGCCATCCATCGAACCAGCAGGTTTCAACACAGATCCCCATCTACGTCTCGAGGACGGCGCTGGCGGGGGAGGATGCCGACCTGGACGTCATCAAGAACAAGACCAAGGACTTGCAAGAGAAGTCCTGGAAGGCGCGAAAAAGAAGCCCACGGGGTTTTGGGTGTGTAACGAGACGACCTCATAGCATGGTATATTCTGCACACATCCAGTGCCAAGTTGCAATGGGCCGAGAGTCAACGGAACTGTTGCATGTTCTACAGGGGACCCTAGTTGTTCCCCTTTTGGCGGTAATTTGGGTCGCCAAATTCAAGCAAATTTCGCCTTTTGGTGGGGTGATGTTTAAGGGGCATCTGGGGGTTGATCAATATTCCTGGCCCCCAAATCACTTTCAACCAAGAGTGGTTGAAATATGACCTTAGTGGTTTCCCCCAGTGGTCAGCCCATGTAAAGTCGGACCTTTGGATCAACCCCCGAGCTTCCTGGAGGTGTCTCAGCAGCTCTACCAGCAGGGCGGCAGTGACACAAGCCCCGCACTTGAAGGGGGGCCATGTCTCTTTCCAGTTCAGTGGCACTGGGTTTCGCCCGTTTTGTTGGATCCCCTCAAAGAGGGTTCCTTGTTTCCTTTTTCTAGCTGGGCAACTGGCTCGCGTCATCTTTTGGTCAAGGCAGGGTTGGGCGGAAGATGGCAAAAAGGAAGATTCCCCTTTTACTCGTCAAGGGAATCGCATGACGTCCAAATGACTCCCCTCTACACCTTAAAGATGTGCCCAAGCTTTGCCAAGGATACCAGAAACCTCCCAAGGCCCAGGTCCCGTGTTTGCCTCCGAAAAACCAACCCAACAAGTGTTGAAGCAAACCCCTTTGGCTCACTTTAGAAAGTTCCAGAAATTCCCGGAGGTTGTTGTCATAGTAGGATTTGTCCGAAAGGTCCTTAGGAAGGTGGCCTCGACGCCAGCCCAGCCTGAGGAGAGGAGACGTCAGCCGTGCAGCTTTTGCAGGTTGACGGGCATGAGCTTTGGGTTTGTCTTAAAATAGGGGAACCCCCGTGAACTAGGTGAGCCACAATCAAAGCCCGGGTAAATGAAATGAGTGAAGCCGCCTGTTGAATTCTTTACATGGTTCTGGGCCAGGCTTTGATTGTGACTCAGGTGGTTTCCATTTATTTTCCCTTTAAAGACGAAAAAGGGTACACTAAAAAGGCGACACACCCCTTTGGTGTTGCACGGTTTGGTGGGCATCTCTTCTACATTCATAGCATCCACCCCATGTTTGAGTATTTGAAGAATTCGTTGCCGTGCCCTGCCTTTACTCGGTTGTACATATCCTTTGAACTGTACACCTTGAGGCTTGAGATGAAACTAACGATGGTAATGCTGAATGCTGACGAACACGAAGCACAGAATCTAGCCTTCTGATTTTGCGTTTCGTGCTTGGCCAGTGTTGGTCAAGCAACCCCCTATAGTTTCCCATGGAAATCCGCTGAAGGTCCGGGTGTGGGCCATGTTTCAAGGTCCTTTGAGCGGATCCTGGCAAGTCTTCATGGACTCTACGGATCCGATTTTGTTGGGTTCGCTCGCACGGGGAATGACTTTGCCTCTCCAGACCTGGAAGTGCAGCGTCCCTTTCCAAAACGAAAGTGGCACCCTCCGATTCCAAGAGGGTGCTCGGTGGTTCCCGGCCATCCGGTTCGGTTGCTGTTTAGCTTTTTAGCTTTTTAGGGTTTAGTGAACAGTTCAACCTTTAGCATGGGATCTGAGGACAGCCCAGGTAGTCGAAGGTACGCTTCCACGTTTCTTGGTGGGGTCGGGCTTAAAGCATCCATCCAGCGCCTCGAAGCATGGAAGCATGCGGATTCCGGACTCCCATGCGCCACGCAAAATTGTTCTCCAGACACACGCGGGAGTCTTTCAGGGTACCCTCTTTGGGGTTGGGCTCAAGGGAAACCCAAAGGTTGTGCTGCTATTCGTTTCGATCACCGGACGTTCCCTTGTTCACATCTGAATCTTTTTTTGTGTCCCCCGAGACGCCAGCTGATTGCTTCGGTCTCCGAGGCTCCGAGGAAACCAACGAGGAGAAGAAGGAGGAGAAGAAGGATGAGAAGAAGGACGAGAAGGAAGAGAAGAAGTGAGAGAACAACTGAGGATTTGGTCCCAGGACATCCTGAGACAAACCCTAGCAGAGCTTTGGCCCATCTTGACCAACAGATTGGGTTTGGGGTTTAGGTTTCTTTGCAGCAACAATCTAAACAAGCACATGTGTCCAGTATGTTCAATCTTTAGCTGGACTTCTCATAGACTGAAATGACGCAAGTGCCTCAGAAGTGGAAACAGCTTACCTATGCTCATGGGGGCTGGGGGGAAGGGAGAGGGGGGGAGGGAGCCCAAATCAGGCCCTATTAAACTCATAAGGCCTCATTAAGTGCTTCTTTGGGCTCCCTCCACCCCTTCCCTTTTTTGCCAGTTTCAACGAATCTGCAATGCAACTTACCTCTTTTCTCATGTCCACAAGCTGGCCGGGATAGTGCCCACCATGGGGCTGCTATGTTCCCTGTGCTTGCGATTTCCTGTTCGGTTTCCAGAGGAAGTGGTCATTGGTAGAGGTAGTATGTTTTGGCACTGAAGCACAAGCAACAGGTTGCGAAGTATGGCAGCTAATCTTTGGTTCAGGCATATTGCTCTCCAATTTGCATTAACAACTCAGCCGTTTCAAGTAGAACTCAGGCCAGTCTACCACAATGGATGGACCAGATGAGTCCCCTTCAAAAGTGAGTACCCCTTCAAAAGTCACATGGAATCTGCTGAAAGGGCTTTCACGGAAAAGGAGCCGTGTCTAGAAATGGGAGAGTCATGTCCAGAGTGGCTGAGTTGCAGGTGTGTCCTTGTTTAGTGGACCCCCAAAACGAAAATTCGGTCTTCATGTTGGTTTCCCCGTAAACAAACAAGGGGTACCAACTCCAAAAAAGGCAGAGCCAAGGTAAATCCGGGGAGTGGCTAGGTTCTGAAGGAAGCAGTTGATGCTTTCACCTGATCGCCTTGTCCTGGGCTGATGGATCAATTTTCGGCCGCGCACGTAAGCGGCCTCCGGGCTCAAAGCCCTCGAGTTTTGCAACGGGACTTGGATTGAGAGAAGAGCAGCTTCTCCAAGAACATCCCACGACTAGGGCGGGAAACTCAACAGAAAAGCTTTGGCCAGATAGCGAGAACCACACTGACAGATTGATCTGCCCGGCGAACTCCCCGATTCAGGGAGAAAGCCGGCTCCCCATGGTCGATAAAGCTCGCTTACCTGGGGTCCTTTCGTTCAGGTAGAGTGAAAATTGCAGAATGGCGGATTGATGAGACAGCCATCAGGTTCTTAGAATGGAGCTTCGAGGCGCCAGAAGGTTTTGACTTTCTTTTAGTGGGGCCATTAGCGGCTGTTTCATGGCTTCATGCTTGCTGCATTTATGAGGCATCCATGCAAGTTGTTCACTTGGCTAGATGATTTGAAGGGTTGGAATACGCCACCCCCACAAGAGTCAAAACAAAGGCTGATGGTTTCAAATTCCAATAACATGCCCTCCCTCCCACCAACATGGCACCCGAATGGGGGACCCTGCAAGAGGATTTTGATCTTCCAGGTACCCTTCCACAGGA